TGGGGATTTATTTAGCTGCTCACTGTTTTTTTTTTTTCTTTAAGAGTGTTTTAATTACAAGCACACAGTCTATCTCCTTAATGATTTTATTTGGAAGACAACAGTAACCTACATTGTAATTAGTAGGTACAAGGATATGGTAGGAAGAGAGAGAGAAAAAAAATCAGGACCAAAAAAATTAAATATAATTTTCTACTTGGCTTGCTTAAATACAGTTTATCCTAGCAATGGACAGAGAACACTAGATTTCATATTTGGGAAAATAGATACTAACACAGTGTATATTATTTCTATAAATATCTACATCTTAGGAGACAGAATCTTCTGGATGATTTAAACCAGATGTAAGTAAAGTATAGACATATATCCATGAGGAAACTTCAAGAAGCTCAGGGAAAATAGATTTTAAAGACACAAATAAAAAGATATATAAACTTTATTTTTTAGAATAAACTCCATGAAATTCAAGACACTTTTGAAAACATTGATACCAGTCAGGCCATCCCGATAAACTGAGAATGCTGGGAATTTAACCATGTGATTGCAATCATTTTTATATTATGTATTGAAAAAAATGGATAGAATGAGTGCACTTTAAATGATTACTAAGATTAGGAGGAAAAAAGGAGTCAGAATGTGCCATTAAAGGTCTCTGAGGCTTCTCACTGAAACTCTTGCAAAATTGCCCTTGTTTGAGGATACGAAAGAGCAGGGACATTGTAGGGGTGGAGAAGGACTCTCTGATGATGCATTTCCAGATTTTCTTCTGCAAAGGTTTTGGGTAATTTTCTCAAAGCGCTCTCATAATGTGATAGTTACCTAATTTTGTGTCAACTTGAAGACAGATAAAAGTGGAGGGATGGTATTCAGCCTGTCAATCAGGTCACAGCTCCATGGTGACTACTTATGGGCATGGCCTTCTCATCAGAAGGATCTTGGGAACCACCCCCTCTTTCTGCCTTCAGGTTCCGCATGGCGGACCCTGGTTACTGAAAGAGCCCTGGAGATAGATGCGCCCACCGCCATTGGATCCATGGGACTTTGAACCCACCGGCTTGTGATAGTCCTGCCTTCTAGGTCATGAGTCTGGAGAGAGACTTAAGGACTTGAGTTGGACTGGAATGGGGAGTTTTCCTGATTTACAGCTATCACTTGATCGAAAGCTCTTTCTAACACATGTGTGAGTGTCCCTGGGTTGGTTTCTCTAGTCAATCCGGCCTAACACACATAATAAGCTTATTTTTTCATGGTTTGGCCCTCCAGTAAGTGAACATGCAAAATATCTCAGAAACTGTTGACATCACCTTTTTCCTTGGACCTCTGCTTTTGCTCTGATTGGACCACATTCATCCAAATTCATCATTGCTTTGATTGTGCTTTGTCTTTCATCTCCTGATATAAAGCTTTCAATAAATGATTCAGTGTCTTGGTATATCTTGTTTAAAATTTCCATTGAAAGATAGGCTTTAATCTGAAGCACACGGTCACAAAGTTGTCCCAAACTATGAATGTTTAATGGAACAAACAGCTTTATTGCTATCCTGTGGGACAGCTGGATGTCCAAAGCTTACAAGCAACAAGGGGTCTTTGGGCCATATGTTAGGAAAGATTGGTGGAGTGCTGATGGCACGGTGGTTTAGGAGTTGGGCTGCTACCCTCCCTGGCAGCAGTTCAAAACTACCAGCTGTTCTTCAGGAGAAATAGGAGACTTTTTACTCCTCCAAAGGTTTATAGTTTGGGAACCCACAAGTCCAGTTCTACTCTGTCCTGTTGGGTCACGATGAGTCAAAATTCACTCCATAGCAGTGAATTCGAGTTTTTTATGATTGTTTTTGGGCTTTTTTTATCACATTGAGGTATGACTAGAATACTCCCTAGTTTCCTATGTGCTGCAGGGGTGATCATCATAGAACATGTCCAACAGGGCCAGCCTCAAGTGACTTGTAAGTTTAAAGGGGTCCTTAGAAAATAATTTCTGAGAAGGATATCATAGCTCTGGCTACATTTTCTTCTTCCTAGGAGAAAATGTAGCTGGTGAGTTTCTTCTTATTAATGTAGGACGTAGCTGTATCATTAAAGAAGGGAGGGGAATTAGTTAAATTAAATTTCAAAACATGGGGATGTTCTGTTTCTTCTTGCACCCCCTTTAATTATGAATATTTAAATTGTATAAAGAGATACATATAATTTAATATGCAATGATTTAATTTACTCTTGGATTTTTATATTATGAAACACATCATTTTACTGATTTTATTGTAAAACAGTATCCTTGAAAATAATCTCTCACTTCTAACTTTTGGAAGCAAGTCTCTCTTAAAAGATGTACTACTTAGGAAAAACATCTATTTTTTAAATAAAATATTTAAAATTTATTAAATATATTTAAAAGCATCTTATTTTTCCAAATTCTAGAAAGTACAAAATATTTTCACAACTTCTCTGTTCATTTCTACCTCAATTTAATTCCTACATAAGTAATTATCACATGTGATGTGACATTGTTCTTTTTAGTAAAGATGCTTGGGGCTCTTTTAATATGCATGAATTAGATAAATCATTTATTATCATGTGATTATAATTTCATTTGATAAGAATAATTTTCACTTCTGTTTAGCTTCAGGAACGTTTTCCTGGACTCCCTCAATTATATGCTCACAATGCTTGAAAGCTATGGGATCCGTTCTTTTCTCTCCTGCCTAAGGCTCTCGCCTCAAAGTTATTAAACACCCAATCCGCTCAGTGAAAAATAGTCCTTTAGTGTTACATGTTTGAAAAAACAACATAAGGGGAAGATGGGTGGAGAGAGGGGGAACCGATCACAATGAGAGACATATAACCCTCTCCCAGAGGGACAATACAACAGAAAAGTGGGTGGAGGGAGACAGAGATTGGTATAATACATTTAAAAATATGTAAATGATCAAGGATTCATGAGAGAGGGAGGGTGGGGAAGGGGGGGAAATGAGTTGATACCAAAGGCTCAAGTAGAAAGGAAATGTTTTGAAAATGATGATGGCAACCTATGTACAAATGTAGTTGATGCAGTGGATGGATGTATCCATCCATTGTGATAAGAGCTGTAAGAGCCCCCAATAGAATGATTTTTAAATAATAATAATAAAAACAACAACAACTAATCCTTCTTTTCAATTTTAAAAGTACTACATGCATCATAAGATTCCTTACAAAGGCACCATGGTGACATACTGGTTAAGCACTTGGCAAGTCACCAAAAAGTTTTCAGTTAAAACCCACCCCTGGTTCACTGGGAGAAAATAGCTGACAAAGGATTCCCTGAAAGAGGAAGCCTAGAAAACCCTCTCAGGCAGTGCTGCTGTGTTTCCTGGGCTTCATGAATGAGAACACACTTGCTGGCCTCTTACAACAGCACCACAGTAGGCACAACAGCTAAAAACTTTTACAACCAGTGCAGTCCTACGAATCGAACTGTTATCTAATACAATGTTTGATTAAAATCACTGGTGCATTTCTCAAAGGTAGCAGAATCCGGATATTTGTAGTCAAAACAAAAATGTTTCGAAAGGATGAACAGTGATGGGAAGAGAAAACAGAGGACTTTATCATCTGTCTCTTTGGGAATGGGATCTGGGCTTTTGTGGCCCAGTAACTGCTCTTGTAGCAAAACTTGAATGTCTAGTTTTTAAATGTGAGACGCTTCTCATGAAAGTTAAGAGTTTGTGGGTGGTAGACATGACTAAGCACTAAGATGACTCACCCCCAAACTGAGAACCTAACTTGATACCCTTCATTTGCTGAAATTGGAAGTTTGAGCCAACCCAGATTAACCTTGGAATAAATCCCCGGTGAACCATTTTGTAAAACCATATGGAGCAGCTCTGCTCTGCCACACATGTAGATACAATGAGTCAAGGCCAACTCCAAGGGAACTGGTTGCTGTTTTTGACAAAGCTATCAAATAAATCTTTCTTAGAAGTACAACCAGAATCCTGCTGAGAGGCAAGGTTAGCCACTTTGGACACGTTGTCAGGAGAGACCAGTTCCTGGAGAAAGACATCAGGCTTGGTTAAATAGAGGGGCAGTGAAATGGAGCAAAGCCTTCAACAAGACTAATGGACACAAGAGCTGCAACAATGGACTCAAATATAAGAACAATTATAAGAACGGGGCAGGACTGCGCAGTGTCTCTTTCCGTTGTGCACAAAGTGGCTGTGAGTTGGAAGGCACTTGACAGAATCTACAAACAACAATATCCAAAGTTATTAGCGTTGCACATGTGTTAATGCACACACATGTTTGCGTGGGTGTACGTATGATTAACCACGTGTGGGTAGTTAACAGTATTGTATTCCTCTAGTCAATCAAATTAACCATGCATAAAAGTGTGCACTACATGCCTTTGTTGTCACTTACTATCAAACAAGGAATGTGGCTTTCTCCTATGACATTTGAGTCAACGACCTCACTTTACTTTGCTTCCATAGATGGATCTAGCTGTTGTTATTGCTTTCTGACAAGGCTAGTGCTCTTCTTAGTCCTGATACACATTAACATTGCTCTACTTGAGTGTCTGCACTCCTGTAACACATTGTATCATCAAACTTGACAATCCTGCCAGGACACTATGTAGGCCCTTGTGTAAAGATGAAAAGTAACATCTGCTTATAGTGAGATGACCATGTCAAGTGCCACCACTTCTGACTAGCACATGTTGTCAAATGCTCAACATATCAGGCTTCAGGGCTAGACTTTCCTCTTGGGGACTTAAGGAACACATGAAAATGGTTTCTGAATTTGCTTAGAATTCATGGAAAGGGTTTGGATATATATTTGTAATCAAATGCTTCCATGAGATTTTTTTAAATGTGATCCATTCACAGTTTTAACTTGTGTCTTTGAAATACTGCTATCTTTTAAATACATGTTGCTTATAAGACATTTCTAAAATGAAAGAAATGTATCTCTGTAGCTTCTTACTTAACATGTAGCTCATCATTTTTTATTTCTTATCATTCTAGGAGTTATTAGAACTGCCTTACATAACATGGACAGAGAAGCCAGAGAACACTACTCAGTGGTCATTCAAGCCAAAGACATGGCCGGCCAAGTTGGAGGGCTTTCAGGATCAACAACAGTCAACATCACCCTGACTGATGTCAACGACAACCCACCACGGTTTCCTCAGAGTATGTGCACATTTCCAACCATTTGCGTGTATCGGTGCTGTCTCCCCAATTCAGATTTTATTTATCTGCTACATGATCCCCCTACACTAAGTAAGACTAAAGAAATTACTCCACCTACCGTGAGATCATTGATACCATGTAAAGAGTGTGAGCTTGCTTTGGCATCATGCTATTAAAACTCATGTTGTGGTCCTAAGTAATGATACCCTGAATTTTCAGAAATAGTTGTGTATTATTAAGGTTGTCAAGGCAATATTCAAAAAGCATTTTATTTAGAACATGATGGGACACCAATTTAATATTGTATCCTTTAGTTCTCAGAATAGGCCTACATGTGAGACAAGCCGACCCAACATGGAAGCAAACTATTGCTATGGCTGACTCTTGCCAGCACATACAACTTTGCAAAAATATTTCCTCAATTTGAAGCCTGATAAAGCAAAAATTAGTTTGGCATAACTGTTATCACTCTACTTTAATTTAAAGCAAATGGGCTCTAAGTACCTGTTTCAGAGGAAAGAATGAACTATAGCTTTTTTCTATAGCATTTGTTTCACAAAGTGTCTGTTTCAGGGAGATGCAAACTTTGGGGCCTAGAGTATGAGTCAAAGGCACTGTCTCCTTTCAGTGTCAGGGAGACAGTGAGGGAGGGGATGGACCATACAGAGCCTATCCAACTAGGAGGACAACACCCACTGTCCTCGAATCCATTCAGTCTCATAGTGACACAATAGGGCAGGGTAAGACTGCCCCCTGTGGGTTTTGAAAACAATAACTCTTTACGGAAGTAGAAAACATCTTTGTTCCAAGAAGTGGCTGGTGGTTTTGAGCTGGCCACTTTGAAGCTAGCAGGCCAACACAAAAGCACTATGCCAGCTGTGGGCTTCTTGGCCCACATTGGTAGAAGCCAAGGGGCCATGCGACTAAGAGACTGAGATTTGGGTGCTAGCTGGGGAGAGGCATTTCTGTGGACCAAAGGTGGTATACTTACTGTCTTAGGATCCTGACTTGCCTGATAACCCCCATAACTATGAGTATTTTCTGTGATTTTGATGTGGCCACTGCGAAAGATTATCGAGCCACCACGGAGTGCTGTAGGAGGAATAGTTAGTGTCAGCATACGGTAAAGGAAGATGGAGGGTGGCGGCACGTCTGAACGCTGACTTGTGGCAATGGTCTGGGGATGGTCACAGTGGATGTCAGATGTGGCCTCCATGCCATTTTCACATATACTCCATTTTGAATATATTTATGATCACTGGCATCGAGTTTTGGATTTGATTATTACTGATTAATATTTATTAATGAATTTCTAAATTGAAACAGAAAGCTAAAAATAATATGGGGTGGCTTCCTAAGGTGTGTGGAAAACAGCAATTGAAAGATAATGACATTTTTCTATGAACTTCTTGGAGCACTCT